GTGCGTGCGTGCGTGCGTGCGTGCGTGCGTGCGTGCGTGCGTGCGCATTAGGGCCTCATGATAATCTACATGCGATATACATATTGCAAAAGACGACTGTGATAAACGTCTTTTTTCCGTGTATTCACGTTCTACATGTGAATATGTTTGGCCAATCAGGTGGGGCCCTGCTGCCCTAGATAATAAATTCGATTATTTTAGTTAAATAAAAATATTCACATGGTCCCTGCGTCCGTAACCAGGTGGAATTTTTTCAATAAAACCAAGTTGTTAGAATGGAAATAATGTTTTTCATTTGTTTACTCACTGTGTTGGGTCTATAGCAGTGGAGCCAGAGCAGAAAGACTTTATATTAAGCATTTATTTATTTATCACAAGTCATATCGTCATTTCGATATTCAACGTTATCGCATATCGCATGTTTTCCTAATATTGCACAGCCCTAGTGTGCGGTCTGCCTGTTTGTGTGTATGTTGGCATGTCCATGTTGACGTGTGTTGTCTGTGTGTTGCTGTATTGTGTGTCTGCGTTGCATTGGGACACGTGTCCTCAGAGAATGATGTAATCAGAGACGAGGTCCAACATGTACATCAGACAGATGTTAGCTCAGCTAAAGGTTCCGGTCTTTAAGCTTAGTGAAGACTAGATGCTAAATATTTGTCAGCTGATTGGCTGTCTAGAGAAAATCTGATCAACTGATCAGAGAATCATTTTAATGTCCGAGACTCTACCTCCTACACTTTCAAAATAAAAGCTCCGATGACCAAGAACAATGAAATATTTGATATTAAAACAGCAAATAAAACCATAACAATGCTGAACCGTTGGTGAATTCTCCCGAGTCACATGATAATGGGGATTATAGTTATTACTATTATAATGATTATTATTAACATCATATCAGAGACAAGTGAAAGTAGTGCAGCAGAAAAGCAAAAGTGCCTTAATCTGAAGTTTGCAGAGGGCTTTTATTTTGAAGTGATTTTAATAATCGTTGCTTCAGTCTGATTCTGTTTTTAAAAACTTTATTTAAACTTAATGAAGGGATGAATTAGAAAATACATGTGTAGCCTTTTTTCTTAATTCACTTTATTTCTGAGAAGATACACAAATAAAATCTATTTCTTCTGATTCTGTTTGTGTTTGTGTCGACTGTCACAGAGTCTGAGACCGGCTCTGAACTATGAAGCAGGATTTGTGGTTATCAGGTTAACTTCAAGTTTAATTCAGAGTTTTCAGTCCTAAGCTCGTTCCCTTGTTATCGGGTAAATCACCATGGTAACATGGTGATCAGCTGACCTGCTCCAGGTTAAGTTGGAGATAAGAGATCAAACAGTATGAAAGCTCCGCCCACAGACCAGTCCCTTCCGTTGAACCATGACATCATGTTCTTAGAGGATCGTGGAGCTGGTGTGGATTGTTTGAGTCTCTGAGGAGGACCGGGGTCTTCAGAGACCCACAAGATCCTCTGAGATCTTCTAGGAGTCTCTGAAAGATCTAGATCCTCATCACAGGGAATAAATAAATTATATTTGTATGTTTTATTTCCTCCAGCTGAGCTTGAAGCCACCAGGGTTTCACCTGAAAGACTCAAACTGTCCCACACAGTGAGAATACATGTAAATGACATGTGATGGAGACACAGATGAGATTATATTCAGATGGACTCTTGTTAACAATAGTTTTACTATAAAAACAATCCAGATGTTTCACCAGCTGTTCTTCCTGCGTTTAGCAGCTGGAACTGTTTCTTTTATTCTGGACGTTTGTTCTCCTCTGATTTTTATTATACAACAGTTTGATCCTCGTTAAATATGAGGCTCTGCTGTCAGTCAAACTGTCCATGTCTGTGAGTGGTCATATGTAGTAAACCCCGCCCCTTTCATGTGCACTTGCTCATATCTAGAAGAAAACCTGAGTTAACTTAACGAGTTTAAACCAGCGTCATGTGACCACTTAGCCTGAATGTGATAGTTTAAGTTCAGCTGGATAACTGAAACATATCCTGGGTATGTTCAACTGGCTTCGTAGAACAGGCCCCTGGAGCCGTTCACAGAGTCTGGTCACATGACCTCAACATCACAGCTGAGTCATCACACAGCGATCGATACGAGGTCACAGAGTCACTCTTATCAGACTTCTGTCAATCAATCAATCAATCAGTCAGTATCAGACGCTCACGCAGATACAGATCATGTAGAAACAGTTGGACTCTGATGTTTGAATCAGTTAAATGTTGTGTGTACGTTGACGTGTGTTGGGGCCTGAACCATCACATGATTGTGTCATTTACATGTAGAGGATCTCAGAGGATCTTGTGGGTCTCTGAAGACCCCGGTCCTCCTCAGAGACTCAAACAATCCACAGCAGCTCCACGATCCTCTAAGAACATGATATCATGGTTCAACGGAAGGGACTGGTCAGTGGGCGGAGCTTTCATACTGTTTGATCTCTTATCTCCAATTTAACCTGGAGCAGGTCAGCTGATCATTATGTTACCATGGTGATTTACCCGATAACAAGGGAACGAGCTTCATAGGATGAATACTCTGAATTAAACCTGAAGTTTCCTAGTAGCCACAAATCCTTCTTCTTAGTTCAGAGCTCTGGTGTGTATGTTGATGTGTGCGGTGTGTCCCTGTCTTTCCTGCAGAGGGCACCATGGTCTGTACAGTCAGCACAGACAAAGAGAGAGAGAGCGAGAGAGAGAGGGGGGTGAGATTCAGGGGGCGTCTATTTTTGATTCGGAGACACTGATCTGTTCTTCATTTACTTCTCTCCTTCGCTCCTGCATCATGTGTGCATCATGCGTGTGCAGCTTCTTTCAGATCATCTCAGGTAAGAGTGATTTATTATTTATCTTCTGTGGACACATGAAGCTTGAATTCACTCTTCCTCTCTTGCTTATTATTAATTATATCAATGATAGAAATAATAAACAGAAGAATGGATCAGTGATGTTTTTAACTCAGAGAATCTTCAGTCTCTGTGTTTCTGTTGTATTACAAACTCTTTGTTTCAAATTCATTTTATATATTAAATCTTATGTATATAATAATACAATACAATAATATGTGTAAGTTGACTTGCAAGCAAGTATTGCGGCCCCTCGCATGGTGACAGTAGGGAAGTGACGCGACAGTGCTAAGGCCTCCATGTACCCACCAACACCCAATGATCCATGATGGTGGATCATAGACTGTGATCATGGACCATAGATCCTGATCCTGGACCATGATCACAAGACGTCTTGATACACAACATGTCTCCTCATCTTCATCAGTAACTCCTCAGTTCATGTGTCTGCTCCTTCATCTGTATCAGACATGTCCTCATGTACAAATACTTTAAACCTGAAGTTACAAACTGTTTCTTCTGATGTAGTGAATCTGTTGTTGTGTTGATGTCTTCAGTTCATCAGCATCTATTGTCCTCGTGTCCTGGAGACGGATCCTCACATGTGACTCTGAGCTTCAGTTACTGCTCAGAAAGTGTCTCTGTAGTTTTAACTTAAAGGACAGAGGACGACTTGTTGACATCGATGAGACAAACTGAATATGAGACAAATCAAATGTGATTGATTGATTTAATTTGATTTGATTGAAAAACAAAATGTATCATGGGACTGTTCCAGCCCCAGCACTGTAATAATAATCTGTGCCATTCCAATAGTGCCCTTGCACTGTTAGTGCTCAGGCCCTAAATATGATATAATATTATGTGAATGATAAAATATGATATGTCTTTCATTGTCGCTTCAGTTATTGGCTCCTGTTGGATCTTATTTTCAACCAGCGATTTCCAGTTACTCCTGCTTTTCCCAGGGGTTGTGTCCTGGGGCCCCTTTTGTTTGTCATCTCTTTACTTCCTCTTGGCCATATCGTCCGTAAAGTTAACATCTATTTCGAAGCAGATGACACCCAGCTCCACCTTTCCACCAAAACCTACCTCCATCCTCTGTCTGGCCCCTACAGCTCCCATTGGCCTCTGATGGCCCCTGTCGGCCTTGTGCCTCATCAGTTCTGCAAGTTCCTCTCACAAACTGAACCCGATTCTCTGCAGCCATTTCCTTTGTTTATTTGTCTCTCAGGTGTTGTTGTTTTTTGTCTTCTCAGCTATGTTGCTGATGTCATCATGGTGTGTTCAGGGTCTGCGTGTCGATGTGTATCCCAGACAGCCTCTGTTCAGACTGGCGGAGCGTCAGCAGCTGGTTTGCTCCGTTCAAGATTGTCCCATGATGCCAAGCATCTCCTGGTCTTTGCCTGGGGATCGACCTCTGACCGCCTCTGTCACCACCAACTCCAGCTGCTCTGTGGTGACCTTTGACCCTGTGATGATGGAGCATGAGGGCGCTCTGCTGTGCAGAGTGAACTGTGGAGAAGACAGGAAGCAGATCCTAACCAACGTGCATGTTTACTGTGAGTTCATGTACGCACACACACACTATATATCAACATATAAGGACCAGGTGTGTCGTGGTTTAAAGTGTGTTTCTGTCTCTGTGGACTCCAGCCCTCCCATCAGCCCCTCTGATCCAAGGCCAGGACCACTTGAGACTGGGGGTGGAGTCCACCCTGACCTGTCAGGTGTCCGACCTTTATCCCTCAGAGCTGCTCAACCTCACCTGGTTTAACGGGGACAGAGTCATGCAGAGCGTTGTCGGAGAGCATGGGTCTAGCTCTGTCTCGTCTGAGTACAGGTTCACTCCTCAGGACCAGGACTCGGGGGCCAACATCAGCTGCAGGGCCACGCTGAACCTGCTGACCCTGCCACCTGAGATCCGGACCAGAGAGACCACGATCCACCTCAACCTGCTCTGTGAGTCCTGAGTCTGAGTCCTGAGTCTTGCTTAGACCTGGATTTGGAACTGGTTCAGATGTATTTAGATCTCAGGGATATGGTCCAAAGTTTGAGAATCTGGATCAGATGAATCAAGATCTAGAGGACCTGACCTCTGAATCCCCTGCAGATGCTCCTGTCGTGACGTCGATCTCGGACCCGTTGCTGGTCATGGTCAACTCTTCGCTCACTGTCAGCTGTTCAGCGGTGGGAAACCCTGAGCCGACAATCACCTGGAGCTTCAGGACGACAGATGGTCGATCACTTCTGCGGGGGCGTGGCCATCAGCTTGTTGTCACGTCAGTGAGTCTGTTTGACGCTGGACGCTACGAATGTGAGGCTCGAAACAATGAGGGAAGCCAGACCGCTGCGGTGGACGTCACTGTTCATGGTCAGACTGCGCTCTCTTAATTATGGGGTTTTGTTGCCCCACCCCCACCTGTCATCCACTCTAACACCTGTGTCCGCCCCCACAGCTCCACCCACCAACACCTCCATATCTGTGAGTCCCGGTGAGGACGTGGTGGAGGGTCAACAGGTCAACATTACCTGCCGATCAGATGGAGCTCCGCCCACATCGCTGGTGCTAAGGAGGGATGGGGCGGTGCTACAGAGCATTTATCCCGACTCCTCATCCTCGCTATTCCTCAGCCTCTCTATGTCCTTGCTGCAAGACTCCGCCCACTACGAGTGTGAAGCCTCCAATAAGTACGGAGCACAGCAGGTGTCCAGCTCCGTCAGGGTCAAAGGTCAGAGACAGAAACAGGAAGTAGCAAAAATAAAAGTCTTTATTTCTTTTATTTAATGTCTGAACATTTTCAAGAACATCCTGTCAGTGATGTTCTCTGGTTCTTCAGCTCACCCTCTGCAGGTGGAGGTGAGTCGTCAGGTCTCGGCTGCAGAGCGAGGTTCAGATCTGCTCGTCAGCTGCAGAGCGTCCGGGTGTCTCCGCCCTCCGACCCTCACCTGGAAGAGGGTGGAGCGGGACCGTAGCATCATCCAGAGGACACAGCAGTGGGACGGACTGTCCCCGCTCCACCTGCGGGACCTTGACCTCCAGGATCAGGGAGGCTACAGCTGTGAGGCCGAGTGTGACGCCGTCATCAGGACCAGAACCATCCAGGTCCACGTCTACTGTGAGTCTGTCACACCTGAGCCCAGGTGTTTGTGGTGTCATAGAGGAGAGGAAGAAACACTGTGAGTCGAGAAAATAAAAAACGTGTTCAGAAAAAACACGAAAAAAAGAATCCCTTAGGATGACCGACTTCATAAATATATATTGATATAGAGATGTACATAGATGAACGTGTATGTGTGTGTTTATATGGACAATGTCGTATATTTGTGTGTTAACAGTGAAGTGTTATTCAGACATGTGAGAAACAACTTGAG